ATAGTGTGCTTCTGCTAATCAAACAAGTGTAAGAGTACACCCAATCGTAGCACTTTCATGTGAGTTGATAAATCACCTTTATAAAAAATATATTTCTATTAATTTAAAGAGTGCCTTTTGCTGCTACTCTCGAATCGATTCTTTTATATATTCAGTATATAAGGGCTCTCTCTATCTCTTACTAGGCTTCTTTTATTTACTCTATATGTATTAGATTAATGTACTCTAAGCAATAGAAATCCCTATAGATTGTGTATTGGATAATACAATTTATTCTTGTAATAAAAAGATATATATATATATATATATGCACCTTTAATAAAAATGTATATCATATATATAGTATAACAATATTATCCCAAATCTTCAAGTCTCTTATAACTTACAAAAATAAAATCTCAAGGCTAGTGCTTTAACATACTATGTCTTTTCCAAGTTTAATTTTGAGCAGATACCCAAGTAGCTTTTATTTTGTACACGCATAAAAAGCAAGTGTTTATTTCTTATTTATTCTTTTTGAAAGAAAACAGATTATATATATAATTGAATAGTGCTTTTGTGAAAATACTTTATAATTTTGGCTAACAATATATGCTCATCAATATTACTAGCTGTATTCTACTTGAATAAAAAACATTGGGCCAATGAGTTTTAGTCTCTTGGATTGCACGCTTGCAGACACTTCGGAATTATATTACAAAAACCATAAAATGAATAAAAAAAGGTGGGAACCTCAAAGTATCAACTTAACTTAGAAGCACAAAGGAAAATGCATTGGTTATGTAGTTCTTATCCGTGAGTAGGGCGTATCGAAATGCAGCAAGTAAAACCAGTTTCCTGGCTTCTCTATATTTTCCAGTAGAACACAGAAGTAAAAGGTCAAATGCGAGCAAATTGAACAAAAAGCTGCGGTGGGTTGTTTTGAAATGAACAGATAAAAAGTTGAGACAGCTATCTGGAGATGTGCATGTCGTATACTGGGGGACTACATTGTTTTGTGGTTACAAAAAAGAGCAACTGACTCTGGCATATAAGTAAGAATAAATTTATGAAGTAATAATAAACGCCTTTACAGATTACAGGGGAGGCAAAGGTTAATAAATAAACACCATGATGTACTTTATGACTTAAAAATCAGTGCGAGTTTTTGTGGTACTGATATAACCAGAAAATAAGATATGCTGGTACACATAAGGTTAAGATAAAGCAATATAAGCAAAAAATACTAAATGTGGAGAAACTCAGAATACTAGAAGAAAAGCAGGCTTCTCTGATAGAATACATATAGACATATAATGATTTGAGCTGACACGATCAATGTCATTAAAGACTGGAGTAAAGTCTACAGTAGAATTGAGAGATAGAAAGTAAGCAGAACAACAAAGAGAAGAGAGAAAATATATCAGATCTCCAGCGCATACCGATTCGGGATTGGCATGGAAACAAAGAATTGCTAATTTGAAGAGTTGAAGAATAAAAAATTCTGTAATAAAATACTAAAACAGGAGTGAAGGAATTGATAACGTCTTGGGAGATGAGATTTATGAATAACATGTTATTTCTTGTAGCCTAGACCGCAAAAAAGAATTGACCGGTTGTAAATGAGTATTGATTACTATTGAGCCTGAGATCAAGACGGAAATATAAGTAATTTATTGTTAGCAATTCCAGTTTAATGGATCTGCCTTTACTCTATTAACTAATACATAAACTATTGACACGTAGTTTATTATTACTCTATATTCTTATCATAATATGACATTTACAATTATACATAGTATATATACAGTATATTTATAAAGCATCTACATACTTATCTTACTCTAGTAATACCTTATTTAGATACTACACATAAGTATACCTATAATTCAAATACACTACTCAAGTATTTGAGTTGGAAAACTCCGAGGCTACCAATAGTATGGATATTCGTTCTTGTCCAAAATCTCTGGCTGATATGACTGGATGACCGCCATACACATAGATATTTCCAGAAGAATAACACTTTTTAATTATGCTTCATAGCATCAATTACTTGGACACATACTAAAATATAATTTAGCAGACATATAGATACCAACAATAAATACTATTTCAAAAACAATTGAATTTTGTTACTTTTTTTTTTCTTTTGAAATAAGACATCATATATAAGCTATTATGAATTATATTCTCTATATTCTCTTTATCAATCTCAAAACAGAACGTTTAAAAGATTCTAGAATGAATAGTATAGACTTCTTCTATAGAATTTCCAAAAAACAAAAACCAAATAATTAGTTTCAAGTGAAATTAATGTAAGCAATATTCAGCCTAACACAAGTGTTCAGAGTTCAGAATAAAAGAAAGACTCCTATTGGTCAGAGCATATACAGGGTAGATCGCGTCTGTAAAAGAGTACTATATTGGGCACAGTATGATATCCATAGACTTTGAGAAGAAAAACGATTATGGAATGCTAAAAGAACTATAAGCTGAGCGGAATATTGCAAACCCACCAAAAGAAGGATAGTATTCAACGAGAGACTTCCTTTTATTTTCAAAAAGAGTGTTGTTTATAAGATCAAATGCCAAGCTAATAAACTAGTTAGGAAATCCATAAAAGAGACTCACAAATATGGATTCTGCACAAGTTTATTGTGAATATTAGAGCCTGTCATTGTCAAGTCTTTGTTTTTAGATAACAATTTGGCAAGATAACAACTCTGTAAGCTTTAAACATTGGCCACTACAAAAAGAATAAAATGAAAAAGATTTCTGTGTACAATTATAGCTAGAAAAGCAAAAAAAAAGATGATTGACTTCAAAACATAACTTGTGATTTTTCCCATATATTAAAGACATGCTTTAAAGTTTTCAAATAAAGAATGTAAATTGATAGTACTAACATTGCCAAGTATTTGCAATCGTGCAATCCAAGAGACTAAAACTCATTGGCATAATGTTTTTTATTCAAGTAGAATACAGCTAGTAATATTGATGAGCATATATTGTTAGCCAAAATTATAAATTATTTTCACAAAAGCACTATTCAATTGTATATCCAATCTGTTTTCTTTCAAAAAAATAAATAATAAATAGACACCTGCTTTTTATGCATGTACAAAATAAAAGCTACTTGGGTGTCTGCTTAAAATTAAACTTGGAGAAGATATAGTATGTTAAAGCACTAGCCTTGAGATTTTATTTTTGTAAGTTATAAGAGACTTGAAGATTTGGGATAATATTGTTATACTATATATATGATATACATTTTTATTAAAGGTGCATATATATATCTTTTTATTACAAGAATAAATTGTATTATCCAATACACAATCTATAGGGATTTCTATCGCTTAGAGTACATTAATATAATACATATAGAGTAAATAAAAGAAGCCTAGTAAGAGATAGAGAGAGTCTTTATATACTGAATATATAAAAGAATCGATTCGAGAGTAGCAGCAAAAGGCACTCTTTAAATTAATAGAAATATATTTTTTATAAAGGTGATTTATCAACTTACATAAAAGTGCTACGATTGGGCGTACTCTTACACTTGTTTGATTAGCAGAAGCACACTATCAAAATGCTTCAAAATATTATTATTTTATAAATAATAAGCCAAATAACTATAGCCATTTTTTATGTCTTGTATGTTTTGTATTCTTTACCAAACACCTCTTGTCTTGGTGTGCTTGCTTTATTAACTTCATAAGTAACTTGGTAACCTTTGAAAGGAAGCAAATAGGGTGAGAGAAAATATGAAACGTGTGATACATACCTGTATAAATGTATATATATTTGGTTTCCTTGTTTGTACTTAGCCTGTTTATTTGCATGACTCCCCCCCTTATCTTTTATATCAGGACGGTCTTAATTTTTCCGAAAACGCCTTTCAAGGCCTGGCCTTTATAAAACAGTAGATACATTTAAAGGATACTACAATATAGCACTGCAAAAAGTAAGAGTATGGGTACTGAATGTAAGAGTTGGAAAGAAAGACCAGTGTTATATTTTAAAAGGGCCTTCTGTTTTCATTTTTCAACTTGTGTATATACAATATTATACTCAGGTACTTTCCCTGAAAAGTATTTGTAGTGACGAAAACAAATGATCAGCGTGACCAACACCACACAAGATGCATCCATCCATCCATCCTCCTCCCCCTATCTCCCCCAATCTTTTGATTGATGTATACTTTCAATGAATTTTATTGGACTAAAGTGAGGGAGGCGTCATCATCTCCCCATTTCTGTTTTTATAGCTAGAGAAAAATTTTCGCGTCTTTTGGTTTTCCTTTTTTCCCTTTTTCTTTGTACTGGCCGTGTCTACTGGTGGAGACGATGGAGAGCTTCTGGTAATATATGGGTTTATGTCCGGCCGGTCATCGTTTATACACAGAAGCCAAGAGGGTCTTCCGATAGCCATGCTTCTTTTCTTATGAACGGCTAGCCAGATCACTTTAAGATAAGTATATGATTTTTTACGTTATGTGCGATGCAACTTTGAATACTAATTAATCAAAGCCTGTGGAGTAGGCGACTGTAAGAGTTCAAAAGACGTTCATAAAGCCTTGGCAATATTATTTTGTTAAGCTTGTTGAGCTGATTTTGGACTCTTACGACCGACCGCTCTCTCTTTTTGTTTCTTTCTTTCAAAAGGGCCCGATGGAGTAGTAGCCACGGGTCAACCATGGTCTATCGAGCAAGTCCACAAGCGCGCGTGTAGCGTGTGAGCCCGTTGTCCGTATTCCTGTGTATTACTGGTTGCTTTCTGTTGTCTCTTCTGGTGGGCGCGGCTGGTACCATCTTTTTTGGGTTAGTTCCCGTTGCTTGTTCCCTCCCGTTGCTTGTTCCTTCCCTATGCCTTCCACGGCGGTCCATGTTATTTGAAAGGTACTGTTGCTTGTTGCTTTTTTTTTGTTAGTCTGTTGCTTCCGCCAGTGGGACTTTTCTGCCAGTGGGTTTGTTGCTTCCCACTGGTAGGCCCTTTCCTCCTACCAGTGAACCTGTCATCTCTCGCCAGTGGACCTTTTTATATAGCCGCCAGTTGCCGGTTGCCGGTTGCCAGTTGCCAGTTGCCAGTTGCCAGCCGCCCATTTTCCTTCCACTGGCGGGTCCATTTATCTCACTGGTAGGAGCCATTTATCCCACTGGTCGGACATTTGCTTCCTGTTGCTTCCTGTTGCTTCTGCCGGGGAACTCGATGGTTCCATTTCTGCCGCAAAGGTGTCGGCTATGTCGTGTCCTCAAGACACCTCGTCAAAAGCCGATAAGGCTCACCAGAAGCCCAACAAGGGCGCCTAGAAAAAGGCTACACCAGCCCATAAGAGAGGCCAAAGTATGCGCCAGAGCAAAGACCAATCAGGCCTACAAGACAGGCTAATGTAAGTGTCAGGAAAAGGACCAAACTATCTCAAGACATAATCTAATTGTTTTTGTATTGTTACAATGCAGGCTCCAAGTGCGCACCAGATAAAGGGCAAACCGGCCCACAAGAAAGGCCAAAGTATGTGCCAGCAAAAAGGGCAAACCATCCCACAATAAAGGCCAAAGCATGTGCCAGAAGAAAAGGGCAAACCGCTCCACAAGAAAGGCCAAAGCATGTGCCAGAAGAAAAGGGCAAACCGCCCCACAAGAAAGGCCACAGTATGTGCCAGCAAAAAGGGCCAACCAGCCCACAAGAAAGACCACAGTATGTGCCAGCAAAAATGGCTAACTATCCTACAAGAGAGGCCAAAGTATGCGCCAGAGCAAACGTCAATGCGGCCCACAAGAAAGGCTAATGTAAGTACGGTGAAAAAGGGTGAACTATCTCAAGACATAGACTAATCATTTTTTGTATTACTACAACACAGGCTCCAAATGCGCACCAGAGAAAAAAAGGCTTTTCAGAGACCCTCAAGGTCACTGTCAAGATTCAAAGCCAAATCAAGATAGATAGTCAAAAAAGAAAAGAAGAAAAAGAGAAAAAAATATATAAAAAGAAAATGAAAAGATACAAAAAAAAAGAAAAGAAAAAAGAAAAGAAAAACAACCAGAACAATATTGACCAGAAAAAATTGTGCTCACAATTATCTCTCTATCTCAGATCAAACCCCATAGTCACTAGTACAATCTCCAAAATAGTCAAGCCAAGGTCCATTGCTATGTCCAAGTCCAAGTCCAAATCCAATTCCAAGTCTTGTCCAAGTCCAAGTCCAAATGTCCAAAAACTGTCCAAGTACTGTTCTAGTACTAGTCCTAGCACTCAAACATATACAAACAAATAGAGAAGTACACAATTAGAGAAGTAGACAAATACATACACACAAACACACACAATTTCTATTTTTCTATTTCTTTCTTATACACACACACACACACACACACACACACACACACACAAATACACACACACATACACACACACATACACATAGTCATAGTCATAGTCATACAAACATACATATACACACTTATATAC